TCGTTTGCCTCTGTTCTGCCTCACGCTGCCCTCCTGCACTGTTACCTCTTCGTTTGCTTCTGTCCTGCCTCACGCTGCCCTCCTGCACTGTTACCTCTTCGTTTGCTTCTGTCCTGCCTCACGCTGCCCTCCTGCACTGTTACCTCTTCGTTTGCTTCTGTCCTGCCTCACACTGCCCTCCTGCACTGTCACTTCTTCGTTTGCCTCTGTCCTGCCTCACACTGCCCTCCTGCACTGTTGCCTCTTTCCTGAGCAAAGAGACTATTATTATCATAAGCCAGGCTCTGACTTTCTCGGGCAGGATGTTGAGTGAATCTTCTAGGTCTATCTGTGATTAAGGAGTAAAGCAGCACAAGGAACAATCGATGCTTCCCATTAGCCTGGAGTACGGAACCCCCCCCCCCCTCCCCTCAGCCACTGGTATAACACTGAGACACTGAGACATTCTGACCCACTGATACCCACTGATGAATGTAGCCACTGATACAGCTTCAGTTACTGAAACTGTCTCATTTATTGATTTGACCTCTAGTGTTTCATCCATAAAACGGCTGGTTACTATCTGGGCCACTGCCACATACGATGCTTCTCCACTGGCATACAGGAGCCGTACCCGAACTGTACTGCCAAGAGAGGCTAGTTGCAGCGCGGTTCCGGTTCTCTTCGGTTTTCCACTGCAGAAGGGTCGGCTCGGTAACGGCGTTGCCAGGTTTGGAGAGCAACCGTGACGTAAAAACTGAAGTGACGCTTATTTACTGTTCAAATGGTATGTATAATGATTTACTATGTGCTAATTTCCTCATTTTCTAGCACATCTGTGAGAATCGCCATGTTATGTTAGCATCAAATGCTAGCGGGATTAGCATTCACTTGCATAAATTTGCATTCCGAATCCATTCCGTTCAGCTGTTCTATAGCACTTTTTTAAGCAGTAGTTATGAAATTTTCAAGATACATCGTGATGCGTGATACTACTAATAATGAATAATATATAGAACATAGTCTTCTTTCCTTCTGATAATCCATGGGCAGAACATCGGTATCTCCGTGCATTTTGACCAATCAGATGGCGGTGATGTAACCAGCTCAGTTTGGTCACGCTTTCGGCCTTGCTAGTAAGCTGGTCATGTTAGCGCGGTTACAGTTTGGGTACGGCTCGCAAACTTCGCCATGGAAAACTGCCAGCTCATGATTCGACTCCGTTAGAACTCGGTTCTTAGTGGCAGTGGAAAAGCTGCCCACTGATACCACTGCAGTCACTGATATCGCCACTGATCCAGCTCATCATCTTCCCATGTCATATATCTGCTGATAAAGGCCCACACATTACCTCAGGCAGGTTCACTGGTTCATCCACTCATGCTGGGTGATTCACAAATGTAGCGCTCATTGTAAATACGTTTCTTTGGCCATTTCGAGAAACAACATTGATTAGCTAAGAGAGCATAAGCTTGGGAAGTGTCACTCCAGGACCATTGAACGGGGCGGGGCGGGGGGGTCGGCGGAAGTGCATGGCTGTTGAGAGGATTTACTCAATCCCGCATTCAGTCTGAGTCTGGGTGTCTAGTGGAGACAGACTTTTAAACCCATCCAATCGCATTGCTGTGATAGCGAAGTACATTACATTTCAAATCCTATTACTCACATTTGCACATTAGACCCCAGTGAGAATTAAGAACTGTAATTCCAGCTGTGATCGTCCCTGGCGGCAGACGGTTCATTCCAGGTGTATTATTGCCACTTACAGCTTAATGGATGAGGCTGGCAGCCCTACACAGTCGTGCACTATGGCACTTGTGTTTGTGTTTGGTTGTATTTATGTCTGCAGAATCGAACACACACATTGTCCTACAATATATGAGCAGTTGTTTTAAAACCTCTTTGCATCCTCCATTATCTGTGTAAAACTGTAATACAGAAATAATAGGTTTACCTGCAGTTCAATGACACTTAAGCGGGTCACTGAAAAGTTTTTGTCTTCCTGTGGAGGGAATGTGTGTGGCAGTTACCAGGTGTCTCACAGCGACATGGGTCATGTGACGCACCCCCCATCCCAGAGTCCCAGTGGATGAGCGTTGCCATGGTGATCGCTCACTCATCTTATTTGGTCTCCTCTTATGCTAATTGCTTGTTCTTGGTCATCTATATATGTGTTATTCTGATACATTAATCAGTAATAGTTATGCAGCTTTGCTGATGCAGGGTACGGGGAGTTAGCTTTTTATTTTGCCTTATATATGGACATAACTGTTCACCAATATTTTAGAAAATTTATTGTTAATTGCAATTTATATAAATAACACGAACCCATCTTTCCATTATCTTGGACAAGGGCAGAGGGAGCCTGGACTGTAGGAATCAGTGGGACGCCCTGGACTGTAGGAATCAGTGGG